ATATATATATATATATATATATATGGGTGAGTGCGTGTGTGTGTGTGTGTGTGTGTATTATATATATATATATATATATATATATATATATATATATATATATATATATATATATATATATATACATATATACATATATATATGTATGTGTGTATATATATAAATATATATATATATATATATATATATATATATATATATATATATATATATATTTCTATATATATATATATATATATATATATATATATATATATTTATATATATATATATATATATATATATATATATATATATATATATATATATATATATATATATATATATATATATATCTATATATATATATATATATATATATGTGTACATATATATATATATATATATATATATATATATATATATATATATATATACATATATATATGTATATACATATATACATACAAAAGGTATGGCAGTGCGGATGTTTCGATAAAATCATCGTAAGATCAATGACAGATGTAAGAGTAAAAGTGAAAGTGAGAGAGAAACAGAGATAGAGTGGGGAGGCAGAGAGAGCAAACGAGAGAGAAGCAGGGGAAACGTTGGAAGGAGATAAGGCAAACGGACGAGAGTCAGAAAGAGAGAGATAGGGAGAAAGAGTAAGAGAGAGAGAGAGATAAAGACAGAGACAAAGATGAGGGAGAAAGAATAATAGAGAGAGAGAGAGAGAACGATAGATAGGTACATAGAGAAAAGGAGCTATAGCTAGATAGATAGAGAGAGACTTGCCAGTGTTTTAAAAGATGTACAGTACCTCTGTTCTTTGATATTCTGATTAAGACATCCCCAAAGATTTATTTAAATGTCTGATCTCCCTCTGCTGTGGATTTCACCTGGAAAGAAAGGTAGATATTTCTTTGACGTTCCTCTTCTCATCACATATATAAAAAGAATGGAAAGCATCGTTCATTAATCTACAAAAAGTTCCGTGGTTCTGCTGCTTCACTTTTGCGGTCTAGTTTCGAGTCTTGCAAGGCCAAAGGCTTTTTCTCCGTAGTAACATACGAAGCTGGATGTGTCAACTATACATATCTAAAGCCTTTTCTGTGACTCAGCAGAAACAATTAATCACTCGGATAATTTTTGCAATGTACTAAGTGTGACATTGGAGTACCTTGGCAGCAAAAGTTCACGAATCTCAGCCAAAAGCTACGAACTGAAATCTTGCATATCTTCTTTACCACTTCCGATGGGACTGACCACGCTCCTCTTAGAGTCAAGCAGAGCAAAAATCCCAGACGAAAGAGTATTCTGAGCGATTTTACATGCTTTAACTGCCTCTTTGCACTCTGCCATCATTGTCAGTGCGAGGTGGATGCATAATATCTATGGGATAATAACAATAACAATAATAATAATGATAATAATAATATTATTATTATCATTATTATTATTATTATCATTAATAGTAATAAACAACAACAATAATAATGATAATAATAATAATGATGATTATTATTATTATTATAATTATAATGATAATAATAATAATTATTATTATTATTATTATAATTATAATTATAATAATAATATGTAAAGGGCTGTATACTGAAGTATTCCGATAAGGCATTGGTTAACTTGAAGATCTGCCCAAAACAGTCAGAAACTGCAGGTTATTGAATATAAATATCGAGCACTGGCTTAGTTATAGGACAATATTTTCATATTTTATGAGGCCAAAATATAATACTTGAGGGTCTATCAAAATATAATGATATATATAATATTTTTATTGCTAGATACCAACCTTTAAGAATTTTTTTTTTTTCATATTTTGTGAGACTATTGCTCTAGATCAACACTTCATAATGTCTATACGGTTTTTGAAATGGATGAACACAGAATAAAATCCAAAACTAATATAAACATTTTTATGTATAAAAAAGGTTATGAAAACCAGTGTAGCCGCAACAAATGTGATGCTATATTTTTCAGACACAATGATCACATACATACATATGTGTGTGTATACATGTATGTATGGATACACACATACTCTCTCTCTCTCTCTCTCTCTCTCTCTCTCTCTCTCTCTCACCTTATCTCTTCTCCACCTTCCTTTTGTTTCTCTCTCACTTTCTCTCGCTATCTCTTCCTCCCCTCCTCCATATCTCTGTTTCCCTCTTACTTTCCCTACCTACCTCCTCCCTCCCTCTCTCTGTTTCCCTCTCACTTTTCTACCTACCGCCTCCCTTCCGCCCCTCCCTTTCTCTGTTTCCCTCTCACTTTCCCTACCTACCTCATCCCTTCCGCCCAGTCCCTCTCTCTGTTTCCCTCTCACTTTCCCTACCTACCTCCTCCCTTCCGCCCCTCCCTCTCTCTGTTTCCCTCTCACTTTCACTTTTACTCTAACGCTAGTCATATCTCTCACGTTGACATACATAACAGGGATTCCTCGTTCACCGAAACGTTTCCGCATTGTCATACTTTCCGCTCGTCTTATACCTCACCCCGTCATTTTTTTTCCTTTACTGCATTTAATTTCGTTTTATCACTAACTTTCTAATTTGGTTCACTAAGACGTTTTAGATAACGGCGAGGTGCGAAAACAAGGAAAGTTATCGGGGAAATAATTAGACAATTATAAAAGCATCGTCAAGGAGGGAATGTTGTAGAGAGGGGAGAGAGATAGAGAAGGAAAGATAGATAGATAGATAAAAAGAGAGAGAGAGAGAGACAGACAGACAGGCAGAGACAGAGACAGAGGCAGAGACAGAGAGAGAGCGAGAGAGAGAGAGAGAGAGAGAGAGAGAAAGAAGAGAGAGAGAGAAAGAAAGAGAGTAAGAGAGAGAGAGAGAAAGAAAGAGAAAGAGAGTAAGAGAGAGAGAGAGAGAGAGATAGGGTAGCAGACAGACAAACAGAGACAGAGACAGACTCAGAAAGAGAGATGGGTTTGGAGCATGCGGGGGTGGAATTATACGGTGTTCAGCTTTGCTTTAAAAAATATATATATTTATAATATATTCTCATCATGTCAAAGTGAAGACGCGAGATACTAATCTTCATCTCTCCCTCGCACACACGTACATCTCAGAAACATGAATATTGATCTCCTAACATACCTCTAAGTTCTTTTCTTAATATACAGAGGTGAGTTTTTTTTTTTCTCTCTCTCTCTTTTTTTCTTCTTCATTTTTTTAGATGAATTACGAGTTCTGAATGACAATGATTCTTTGAAGCGCACGTTGC